TGACATGGGACAACCGCTGATGAGGCTACAGATAACTTCCCGGACTAGTTAGTCCGAAGCTCTTGTACCGTACATCGGATAAGCAGGCGCGTCAAAACTACCTCTGGGAGGCCCCCCGCTCCTAAACAGTGACGTGACATGGTCACAGGGAGAAGTTGAACTTCGACACTTGCAGTCGAGTCTCTGACCCCTGCAATAGATGAATTATGCTTTGTGCTCACACTCCAATCATACCAAGTATTAAGGCGATTCCGCTCCTCCTAAAGGTCAGCCAAAATTGCCGCCGTTCCCCATTTTATACGGCCGGAAGAGCTTCGCGGGACCCCGATGTATTGAAAGACATCGTCAAGCCCCCTCACTTGACAATTGAGTGCGTAAATCACTAGCATCCATTGGTTTATCACGAATCCTGGAGAGAAGCCGTGCGAGCAGGGATAGTTCCATCCGTCCATTCAAATTTTGGGGAGTACTTACCAGATAGGTATGGCAATCGCATTGATGTGGGCCCGTTTGAACGAATAAGTTCTTGATTGGTCACATAGGAGGTTTAGATTGAGCGTTGCGGGGAGACGAGAAGCATTGATTCGTCAGGTTCTGGCATTCTGGCAAGGGTCTTTGTTGCCAGTTCTTTCCATGCGTGCTTAGAGAGAACCTTGGGATGTAACAAATTCAACTTTGCATAACAAAGGTAGCACAGCAAGTATACAACTGCATGAGCATAACTGCAAAGGTTCCTGCAAGCACGTGGACTGCAGATCTCAGCTGTCCCGTATTTAATTACGCTTTTTGATACTTTTCAAGAAGCTTATTCTTGATCTCAGATCGTTGGATACAGATCAAGTTCCAACCTTCCAAGGTCTTGATTGCCTAATCTCCACTTCTGAGCCAGCCAAGCGCGGCAGCACCAAACTCCAAAGTGTTGTCGGTCAGAGCGGGTTGGTTACTAGTAACCAACCCATCATGAAGCGTGTGCACTGATACCTACCTTAGTCAAATTTAGGTTGATAAATCAGAGAAAAGGAGAAGTCGCTGGAGTCTCACTCACATGATTGAGGCTTGCTGTCTCTTTGGTCCATTCGTATGGGCGGGATTTCTCCTCCAAGATGACCTGCTAAGGTAAGGCTGCTAACGGAGCAGCTAACCAATTGGATTTTTTCCGTCATTGTGCGCCGAATTGAACTCAAAAGTCCTTTCTGGGCGCTTGAAACAGAAGCATTATTCAGGGACTCCCGGAGTCTGACTAATTTTTACGCGATCCATTCTTCGAATATTGATCCAAAATCATATTTCGTCATGCCATATTCGGCGTAACGATTGAGGCGTTCTCATTGACTTGAATCGCTTGTGGTTCCTTCTTGCGCCACGCTTGCTTCTCCACTATCAGTACGAATATATCGGTCAAGATATGGGGTTCGACCTGACTGATCCGAGCTCATCGTCAGCGGCCTCAATCAATTCTTGTATCTGGTGGTCCCGTTTTCTCGTACCTGTCACTACAGTTTCTGGTAGTCTGACCTGATTTCTACCTTCTGGTACATCCACAGCGGTGGATTCAGGGGACAATGTCAGCAAGCTCCGACGTGATGCCCGCGGATGGTGGTCGTTCGCAGCAAACGGCCCCGTCGCAGCAATTGAATCGTTCCTGTGAATCATGCAGAGGCCTCAAAGTTCGTTGTATCCCTGATCCAACCACAGCGAACCAATGCCAGCGGTGCACAAAGACCGGAAGGGTCTGTATCTTTGTAGCACCCCAAAGGCGGCGGCCACGAAAGCGAACTGATTCCAGAGTTGCCCAATTGGAGAGGGAAATGCGGCAGATGCGTTCACTATTGAAGGACCGTCTCCATGCGGATGACAGCGGTGCAGAAAGCGTGGATAGCGAGAACGACGAATCGCCGGAACATGATTCGGGTATCGAATCCAAAGAACACCTATCTTCAATCCCCGAGGCATCCAGCAGTGTCTCAACATCAACCAGGCATACGGACCAGTCTCATGGTGTTCCACTCTCTTCATATCCCAACGTTGTCGAGAGCAGCTCGGTCTCCATCCCCTCCTTACCCCCTGGGTTCAATGGATACTCCCCTGAAATGCCAATAGGAGATGACATTATCGATCGGGCTGTGATTCCCTTGGAATATGCCAATGAACTGGTGGCGTTCTTCATCAGAGATTTAATGGCCTTCGCTCCCGTCATCGTGCTGCCTCCTGAGACTACCGCATCGCACCTGCGTCATTCTAAGCCCGTACTGTTTCTTTCCATTATCGCCGCTGCCGCTATTGCCGTGGATGCGAGTGTCGCGGCCGTTCTTAATCGAGAGCTGGTTCGGCTCTATGCGGAACGATTCTTCATTCAGGGCGAGAAATCCTTAGAGCTAGTCCAGGCATTGGTGCTCATGACGGTCTTCTACTACCCGCCCGACTCGCCAATGAAATTGCAGCAATTTCAGTACACGCACATTGCAGCTACCATGGCTTTGGAAATTGGTTTGGCCTCTAAGCGTAGAGTATCTCCAAAAGCAGGCGGGAAGAAAGACAAGCGGAATGCGTATGACGAGCAGATGGCGGAACAAGCGAGAGCGATATTGGAGTGTTATCATTTGGCTTCTACGTAAGGATCGAGAAGCGCCCTGCGGAGAGGCAAGCTGCTGATCATTTGAAACAGTGTCGCAATGAAGACTCGTCGACCTAATCTGCTCCTGTTCAACGATTGGATGAGTGAATGCGTGAAACACTTAGAAAAATCGCCAAATGTCATAGATCGACATATGGCCACCTGGTTCGAACTCCAAAGAATCGTTGATGAGGCTATGGCTTCCTTCGGCCTCGATGACACAAGTTCCACCACGCCTTTGACGGAATCTCGCGTTCAGGCTGTATTGCGGTGGTTTGACAATCGAATGCTTAATTGGAAGAAGAATACACCAGCGGACATGCTCACAGGTGCGCTTTCCTCCCCGCAATGATTTGGAAGTAGCTAGCTCACTCTTGTATCCTTCAGTGCCCATGAGTTTCGAGTACCATTACACCAATCTTGCCGTATATGAACTGGCAATCGGAGAAGGCTACCGAGATCCTGATGCGATCAAGCAGGAATATTACACGCTTCCGAGGCCGGAAGGTGACCGCCGAAATCAACGCGCCAGTACCCCTCTCAGTGCCATCCGCGTAGATATAACGATCAAGTGGATGCATACAGCTCACGAGATGCTCAATTTCTTCCTCAGTTGCGACAATGAACTCATGCGAAAGCTTCCGAACTTGATATACACACGTGTGGGCGTGGCCTTGATGTCTCTTTTGAAGATATACTTCACTGTAATATCAGGCGGTTTGGGAGAGTTTGTGACACCGGAGTCCGTCAAGATTGAGATGTACCTGAACGCAATCGCAAGGAGACTCACCGAGGCGAGCGGCGGCCAGAAGTACAAGATCCCCAGCCGATGGTATTATGTTCTTGCCGTCAAAGCTCGAAACTGGTATGATCGGCTGCAACAGCGGCAAGCCCAGCGGGAAAGTGGCTTTGCGTCTCAAATGGAGGCGGGCCAATCAATTCAGATGCAAATGCCAGCCCATACTCTTCCCCACCCCGGTCCCATCAATCCAAACTGTTCTACAGAGTCACTCGTCGTGGATGCAGGCATCCCGCAAGGTCCTCCATATTCTAACATGGGTAGTGCCTATGGAGCTCCAGTGGCCATGAACCAAATGTGGCATGCGGACCAAAATTATGCGCCATCTCTCAGCTACCAGTATCCGGAATATCAGCAGGCCACTTTGCAATCTCAGTATGGGTACGTGGCGCAGCATCCAAGCTTAGCCTCGGAAAGCAACCAAAATCAACCGCCATTACCTCGTAGAACTGGGATGGAATTGGACGGCTGGCTTCCAGATGGGAGTATATTTGGGGCACCCACTTTACCTGGATTTTGATAATTCGGTTTCATTCTTCCTGTTTCAACTCTGCCATCAAGTGCGTGTCACGTCATGTCAAAGGGTTTTCTGACCTCGCCATCCTGATCGAGGTCTTACATACCTCGTGTTAGCCATCTGATTAAAAGACCACGATAGTCCATGAACTATATCTATGACGGAGACATCACTCCACCGACCCTCATTGAGGGGAATCCAAACAATCGCTTTTCAGGAACGAAGAAGAAAAACCAAGACACGAAGGACGTAGGCCAGACTAGATATTGAATAAGAAAACCTACACCGGCGTAACGTCGGTACGGAAATTTATTCCATCTCAGTCGAGCCTCACGGAGTATCGGTGAACACGGAACCTCCGGTATGGAATTGTATCCGATTTGGGCATGTCGTAGAACGCCCACCCCTGAAGATCTAAGAGATCAGCAAATCATTATCGAGACCCTTTCAAAACATCGTGGAGCTGTCAGCCGTCATTGGGTCTTCTTGAGGATGAAGCGAAATTAGACCGTTCGGACTTTGGAGTATGTGCCGACTGCCGACTTTGGAGTATAGCGCCCCTCGCTTAGATGCCTAGTAAGCTGTGGGCGCCATTGAAGACGTCAAGCATCCAGATTGGCGGGCTAATATATCCATCTATCTCCGGAGGCTGCGCTCCGGCGTTATATTTGAATCCGAAGTAAACGAGGTCCCGTGCAGAAATGTATTGGAGGCTTAGTGGTTGTTGGGTGAGAGTTGGTGTCTTGTTGTCTATCGGTCTACCCTGCTCTCCTAGTAGTCCGTATCAATTATTGCCAGCAGTGAGGATTAGCAACTATCTAGCAAGATGATAATTGCGGTCGAAGCCAAATGGAACTGATTTGATTAGATATGCTCTGATCAATTGATCCATTATTACTGTATAAGTTGTATTCTTGCTATCTGATTTTCTCCTATGACGTGTAATGGCGTATACCCTCACGCCCTTTCGCCGCTCTCTCTTAATGGTGCCAAAGATATCATATACCTCTCGAGAGGTACCAATGTAATTATCGTGCAAATACTCTGAATATATCACTAAGATATCCATCATGTCTGACCTATCCCGTAGAGAACCCTCTACGAGTGAGTTCCCCCTCCCATATCCAACAAGAACCACTAAGCGGTGTCATCCCCAGAGGCTCTCCTAGAGAAAGCCAGGTACCAGTCTGGCAGCATCGGCGAGGCCCTCAATGACCCCGAGCAGAACACGACTGGCGCGCAGTTTGACAAGAGCAAATATCCCTCTGAGCCGGTCTGGGATAAGGGTAGCACGACCAAAGTGGCGGTTGATGTTCCTCCTACGGGGAAGATGTGAGTTTGTCCATTGCTTGATCTTTCAGCTTTGCTGGTGTGAGAGTGATTAGGGTATGTGGTTCAGCAGTTGCTGATTGATGCTGCATCAGGGTGGATAAAACGAGGGATCCTGCCGGGGTTAGGTGACTAGCTATTCTGGGTAGATGGCGTGGTTGTGCAGTCTTCTTGTGCTCAATTATTCCACCTTGTTTCGATGTATGACCGGATACTTGAAATTTGATTATGAGTCTGGTAGTCAAACTTCGACGGGTAACCTGCATAGTCTGCAGCGATTGATAGGGGTAGTTGGAGGCAGCTCAGCAGTAGCTTCTACCAACTAGCGGCCATCTTAGAATAATAATCATGTCTTGCTCTTGCATGTCAAGCTGTGAAACCTATCTGTGGCAGTAGAATGATGCTCCCAAGATGGAGAAAGCATGGGCCTCTAGTATCAGTTGATGGATCAGACCGATGTCTCATATTATGAAGAGCATCGAGCAGTTGACTTTTTTCCAGAGCAAAAATGATTGGAGAATCATATTTCCTGCCTGCAAGATGCTTCCTAAAGATGGCATATTCTATGAAGGAATTCTCAATCTCCTCTGTTGAAGCTCTTCAAGAAATGGGAGTTATCTATGTAGTCACTTTACTACTAATCTAGTCACCCGAAGCGCAAACCAATTGCCGCATTCGGATCACCCCATAACGGAACCACTTCCCCTGGTCGCAGTCGCTCTCTCAACACAATTCCGCAATCGTTCGTGTTCACAACAAAACAGCAGGGAGAGGAGTAAGATTGTGCGATTTCGATTTCCTCCCTCCCTTGTTGCTGCTGCCTAACCCGCTATTACTCGCTTTTATTTCTGTGCTTTTTCTTGAGACTTCCCGCCCCCTCTATACCTAGTTTAGGTCCCGTGGCCTTGAGCGTCCCTTTTCACGCGACCTTTTCGACCTCCAATGATTGTCAGCACTGAATGCTCTTCTTGCGCGAATGGGTGATACTGCGTGGTTTGAGTTGGAATACACAGGAGGCTTCACCTTCGGGAACGAGTCTAGGAAACCGGCGAGACCGCTTTAGCACGAAACATCCATGAAGAATGACCTCACCCTCAAGCGCCGCTATTGACCATTCTGTCGACTCTTCCACTGACCCTCCACAGCCTGGTTCTCAAGCTTCGGGGGATACGCAGTCATCGGCTGCATCTACTCTTCCTAATAATGATCAGACAGACGACACAAGGAATGGGGAAGCGGGAGTGAAAACGCCAGAAGGAGTAAAGGCTGGAGGGAACACAACCCTGGAAGATAACAAAGCGGATGCAGATGTGGCAGAGTTAGACGACTTCGGGCTTCCGATCCCAGTCCGGCCCAAGGCTGCACGTCGGTCAGAAGACGAATTACTAGAGGAGGACGAAACGTTTCATGATGTTGAAGAGACACGGATACCACCTAAGAGTGAGACTACCTCCTCGGAGAATGATAAACCCGCTGCCTCCCACGATCTTTCCTGTGAGAATGACAAGCAAGGCACACCCCCACCGGCCTACTCTAGCTTAGATATCCACAATTCTGTCCATCAGTCCTCTCCAGCACATAAGAGGCATTCGAGCCTCAAGCCGTCGGAATGGTCGCACCAGCGACTGAGCGAAAACAAAGAAACCTATTTGGAAAGCGATGATGAAAGCGACGGCGAATGGAAGGAAATGCCCGCCCTGGGCGAATTCGATGTCTACGACGACTATGGGCGATTGGTTGCTCGTGGCGCCAAAGAAGAGGGTGATGACGCAGTATATCAGGGCCTGGGTGGCGCTGGAAAGGGATATACTCGAGTACAACTCGACGAAGACGCGCAGTCGGCGACAAGTTTGGATCAGGACACAAGCTATCTCTTCAAGGAAGCCGCCGGCAACTCTGTAGGAGTAGAAGGAGAAGAGCTGCGGGACCCGCTCAGCCAACTACAAGCTACTAAAGATCTTCTGACTGAAAGTCAAAGGATTGCTTATGTGGGTGTGACGCGGCTGGTGATCTACCAGATGACCCAGGATTTGGAAAAGATACCAACAACTAAGGCTTCCCGCAAGGCGAAACAGAAAGCGGCCGACCTCATGAGGAAATGGGGTCAGACCGTCATGGGAAGGGTTTATACTCACATGGAGATCGATCCTGCGGAGCAAATCATGATTGAACAATTGGCTGAGCACGGCGTTCAGCCTGCGGATCTTGTTCGACCACTGATGCAGAATGCTCGAGTCAAAAATCCAATGGCAGATGAGCTCGACTCTCCAAAGGCATCTGTGTCCTCGAGTGCGTCTCCCGGCTTGAAGGGGAACAGCCAAGCAAGCTTATCCACCGAATCTGAGGATACTTCCGAACCGACTTCCCCTCCACCTTACAAAACGCACGAAGATGACGACCTACCGGAAGTGCGAACCCCGTCACAGATGCCTACTTCAGCAAAGATTGACATTGACCTTCGTTGGACGGTCCTTTGCGACCTATTTCTCGTTCTTATCTCGGATTCGGCCTATGATGCCCGATCCCGATCCTTACTGGAAAGAGTCGGCAAGTCCATGGAAGTGTCCTGGCTGCAAATTGCCCGCTTTGAGAAGCGTGTTATTGATGCCCTCGAGATGCAGGAAGCTGCGGAGAAAGAGACCTGGGATGAGTCTGAGCACATGGAGAAGCGTCGCAAGATGGCGCTGAAACGGAAATATATGGTTATGGGCCTGGCCACTGTTGGGGGAGGATTGATCATCGGTCTCTCCGCCGGTCTGCTGGCTCCGGTCATCGGCGCTGGTCTTGCAGCGGGCTTCACAACCGTCGGAATTTCTGGGACCAGCGCTTTCTTAGGGGGAGCTGGTGGGACAGCCTTGATCGCTTCTGGCGCTACCTTGACAGGAAGTACTATCGGCTTAAGGGCGTCACACAGACGCACTGGAGCTGTGCAGACTTTTGAGTATCGTCCTCTCCACAACAACAAGAGGGTCAACCTGATTGTTGCGATTTCAGGCTGGATGACTGGCAAGGTCGATGACGTTCGATTGCCGTTCAGTACAGTCGATCCTATTATGGGCGACCTTTATTCGGTCCTATGGGAGCCGGAGATGCTTCAGAGCATGGGTGCCACCATCAACATCCTAGCCACAGAGGTAAGCGTCTCCTGACTTTGCGTGGCTTTTGCTGTCATGGAGCTGACTGTATTACCTATAGGCCTTGACTCAGGGTCTGCAACAGGTCTTAGGAAGCACTGTCCTCATGGCATTAATGGCATCCTTGCAGCTACCTCTTGTTCTCACTAAGTTGTCATACTTGATCGATAATCCCTGGAATGTCTCCCTAGCTCGTGCCAACGCGGCAGGGCTAATTTTGGCGGACTCATTGATGGATCATAATCTGGGCAAGAGACCTGTCACTCTACTGGGTTTCTCGCTTGGGGCAAGAGTCATATTCTCGTGTCTGAAAGAGCTCGCAGACAGGGGCGCTAGCGGCTTGATTCAAAATGTCTACCTTTTCGGGTCTCCGGTCGTGGCAAACAAGGACGAATTCATCAAGGCACGCAGCGTTGTCTCTGGCCGGTTTGTGAACGGGTACTCTTCCAATGACTGGATTCTGGGATACCTCTTCCGGGCCACAAGCGGCGGTATTATGCGCGTGGCTGGTATTGCTCCGGTAGAAGGGATCCCCGGCCTGGAGAACGTTGATGTCACTAACTTAGTCAATGGCCACATGGACTATCGTACCGCTATTCCACGGCTACTCAAGGAAGTCGGGTGGGAAGTTCTCAGCGAGGAGTTTGCTGAAATCGAAGACCCCGACCCGGATAATCATGGCGAGCGGCAACGAGAGCTAATCCGCGAAATTGATGAGGCTCGTAAAGCCGCAGAAGCTCAACCAGAGAAGAAGCGGTTTGGACTGTTCAAGCGTGGCAAATTAGCTGAAAAAAAGGGATGGGAAACATACGATGTGAAACGCAGTGACTCGTTTCCCCGTGAATCCACTGACAGCAACGGAACCGGAACCGTCCTCTTCGATATCGATGCGATCAGGGCAGAACTCGCCTCGGAGATGATTGAAGTCAAGCAGCTGGAGTCTACGCTACCACCCATGAAGCTGGATCTCAATTCACCATCAACTCAATCACCAGGTGCTGCTACACCGTCAGAGTACAGAGCTTCCAAAGACGGACGCGCCACCCCATCCGTTCCCCAGACACCCGTTGAAAATTCCCTGGGCCACTCGGCCTCTCAAAAGACGCAATCTCCGCCACCCCATCGGGAGCAGATCAATATGACTTTTGATACTTCTTACGATAACCCTCTGCAACGTTCTCATTCTTCTTTTGAACCAGCTGCCTACGATTCACATCCGACGAGACCAGCTTTACGATCCTCTGTGACGATGCCGACTAGTGTCGGGGCCAGCGCGGTTGGCGCTATGGCTCTTGAGCCCAATGCCTGGGCTGATCACGAATTTGGCCACGGCGAAGAGGGTGAGATCTCGATGACCTTCGAGTGATTATCACTTGGTTTCGTACGGGCTTATATAGTCCTCCTGCGAGTGTGTATAGAGCTTCCCTCGCTTGTTCCATGTTCATCAGCTCCTCTATGTAACGAGTGATGAAACAACGAGTGAATGTCGTGTGATCATTCTATTCTGATTTTGCATTTGGTGTCCCCTTATGTCTGTTAATTATTTCTGCCTTCTTCGTTTCAAAGACTCGATATAGATTTTGTTGAATGACATCGACTTGTATCGAAAACTGTCAGAATCCTCATGTATTACTTTCTGAAAGTTAGCGTATAGCACCGTGGGTTAGTCTACGATCTGTTACTTTGTATTTTTAGAATAAACATGCGATCGTCACTGTTTACAGTGCATCATTAGGCTAGGACCTTGATCATTTCGGCAGCTTGCTCTTAGGTTGAAGTATACCGTGAGTTGTGCTCATATCTCCAACAACTTATCAGGCCATGTGGAGAAAGCGCCGCGATAAGAGATCTTAAGCGTGTCACCACATGGACGCGTTCCACTCCCGTCCCCAAATTCAATACGACGGTCGGATTACCTGCCTTTCTCTCTCTCTATTGCTGCATATTCTTCGTCCCCAATACAAAGAGGCTGGAAGCTGAGCAATAATTTGACCCCTTCGCACAAGCTCTTTTTTTTAACTGGAGGAACTCCGCGGGGTTCATGTGGCGGGTGGCAGCAGCTCGTTGGACGCAATAACCGTCGCTGTATGCCTGAGTCTCTACATTATTGACGTGGACAACCTTGCTGCTGTCGAAGCACAGGTGACTTTACGAGTGGCTGTATTCGACCTCTAGCTCCTACTGCGCAATTCCGACCTGATTATTCAACATGGTTACTCCTACATCTAAACCAAATTCGAGCTTCTCGAAGGTATATTTGACCAAGAATAATTACTCGGGGCGGTCTCTTCACCCAAATGCCAAGCGACCTGGAAAGAGAGCTGAGGATTCAAAGAAAGAAGAAGACACCCAGGATGTTGACGGTTTTGAGGCGGGTTGGAATGAGCGGATAGTGGACAATGAGGACATAACTGCCGAACCCGCCAGCTCTCCCGTCAGTTCTCTTGACGACCAAGAGAATGAGTTTCCGCCCGGTTTTGAGGATTTTGACAGTGCAGTGGGGGAAAGGAGGAGGTCACAAAGAGGAAAGAAAGACTTGCGCGGTTCTGAGTCTCCTACTTTTAGCCGCAAGAGGAATGCCGATGGAATGGCCCACAAAGCTCAGACTGATGCAGAGAAGGAAGATTATGTATTCGGCTGGTCACAAAGTCAGAAGAAGCGCAAACAAGGTTACTCTGGAAAGAAAAGTGATAACTCTTCGTGGAAGGTGCAAGGCTCTACGACCACTCCCTCTCTGTCAAAGTCATCACCTTCCTCCAGTGCTTCAGATTCAAAAGCAAGCCGCAGCTCACAGAGAACCAAAACGGAATCCAAAAAGAAAGCTGTTGACAAGGCTCCAAGCTTTATGGTCCCGCCAGATATCGACGACCTTCTACCTCCATCGTCTGGAACTCGCACGAAGCCCGAGTTTGTTGTCCCCACTTCCCTTCCTAACGATACGATATCTAGCTCCTCTGGATTTGCATCATCCGCTCAAATATCCCGCTTCTTCGATTCTGATGACGACTGTTCAAGTGGCACGTCGCTCAGTTCAGTACCAGAAAACTTGCTGGAAGAATTCTCACAGATGGAGGATGTCTTGCTCTCTGACATGGACGACTCAGAAAACGCGGAGTTGAAGCCCTCGTTGTGTCCCTGGTGCAAGAAGGCTGTCGATCCAGATGCTCTGAGGAAGTTTCGGGCGCAACCGAAACAGCGGATTCGCGAGCAACAGCAATTCTGCGAGTCGCATCAAAAGGAGACGGCGGAGAAAGAATGGAAAGAGAGAGGTTATCCAGACATTGATTGGAATACTTTCGATGAGCGCATCAGGGGTCATTTCGACGATCTGGACAGTATCTTAGTACCGGAAGGCAATTCGTACTACAGAAATGTCCTTGATACTATGTTGAAATCGGGAAAGGCAAAGAACTTTCGCCTGACACTCGCTGGAGACGCCCTCGAGACGATCTGTTGCGGTTATTACGGAACTCGAGGGGCCAACAAAATGTACAGTCTCCTAGTTTTCCTCCTCTTCTTCAAATGCTGTCCTGTTATTAACCGATCCTCTTGACAGGCTACAAGCTCTTACCGCGCGATTCTCCCGCAAACTCCGTCGTTTGGCAGCTGAGGACCACATCGTCAAGACGGCTGGACCTGTCATCTATGCTCAGGCAGTTCTCGTGCCTGAACTGGCCGTCAGGCTAGTCAAAGAAGATATGGGTGTGGATGTTGACTCGGCACGACAAATCCTACGAGAGAGCATTGAAATTGGCGAGAAGCTGAACTTCGCCCCAAACGATGTGGTCCCGATGCCGGTTGAATCGGAGAATGCTGATGCTATCATCGCCTAAGGGCATAATCCGCGACGACATATCGATCTTCTCATTCATTTCGCATACTTATTAGCGACTGTATATAAAAACATTTTTCGGCTTGATACCATTGTTGTTCTTGCTTGTTTGTGACGAATGGTATATCGAAGGGTATCAGTGTGCGAGAGGGCGGCTCGTGTTGAGATGTATTCTTAGTGTGATTCTCTGCTTGAATGAGCATACGAATGGACCCTTTTGAGGGTTTGACGATGTTACATGAGCCAAAGAAATGGTGTTACTTTGACGCCTCTTGTTATTATGTGTCCTTGTTTAGGAAGGTCGATAAGCTCTCCAAATCCACTGATAAGAGGAGCAATTTAGACCCACAATTACGTGCGGATAGCTCAAGCGGAGGGTACCCAACTCATGACATGTAACTCCTCTCTTCCCCCTCATCTTGCGAGCATCGACTCATGCCTCTGGCAAACTGCCACGGCACCTTCTTAAACTAATGGTGCTGTGTGTCGACACTTTCTGATTTCTATTCTACAGCTGCTGTACATGAACATTTGAGCTCTCAATCACGAGATGAGGGAGAAAGCCATGGCTCCCTCAGAGACTACTCCGCTCCTTGTTGTTAACGTCGCTCCACAGCGATATCGATACCCCCATCATACCTTGCGAAGGGTATGCAGCTTCTCCTTGAGCCTGATTCTTTTCGTTGGTTTGATCCTGTTCTTAATCCCGTTTGCCATCCTGCCCCGCGAGCACGGCTCTCTCTGGTCGTATCTCCCCGGTGCCAACCCGTTCCCATACGCCTCATGGCCCAACAGTCCCGGCCTCACGTATAAGCAGCTGCAGGCTGTCCTTCAGAGCACTCCGTCAGCCGCTAAGGCCCGCGAATGGAGCAGTTATTACACGGCAGGTCCGCACCTAGCAGGCAAAAACCTCAGCCAAGCTCTCTGGACCCGCGAGAAGTGGCAAGAGTTCGGCGTGGGCGACACCGAAATCGTCGCTTATGATATCTACCTCAACTATCCTGTGGATCATCGTCTGGCTCTGCTGAAGAAGGACGGCGATAAAACCGAGGTCACCTTCGAAGCTTCTCTGGAAGAGGACGTCCTTGAAGAGGATCACACGAGCGGTCTTCCCGATCGCGTGCCTACTTTCCACGGTTATTCTGCAAGTGGGAACGTCACCGCTCCTTTCGTCTATGTCAATTTCGGGACGTACCATGATTATCAGGACCTCGTTGATGCCAATGTCAGTTTGGCGGGCAAAATTGCTATTGCAAAGTATGGTCGCATCTTTCGTGGGCTGAAGGTGAAGCGGGCACAGGAATTGGGTATGGTCGGTGTGATATTATACGATGATCCCCAGGAAGATGGAGATATTACGGAGGACAATGGCTACAAACCGTACCCTGAGGGACCTGCTCGGAACCCCAGCGCCGTGCAGAGAGGAAGTGCGCAATTCTTGAGTATGACTTTTTTCTCCTTCGGTCCTCAAGCTTTAACTGATACTGACCGTTCTGTGGTAAGGCATCGCTCCCGGTGATCCCACGACTCCCGGTTACCCGTCTAAGCCCGGCTGCGAAAGACAAGATCCCAGTAACTCAATCCCGTCTATTCCATCCCTACCCGTCTCCTATCAGGAAGTGGTGCCTTTCCTAAAAGCGCTGAATGGACATGGTCCCGAGGCATCTGATTTCAACGAATGGTGGCAAGGTGGGAGGCTCGGGTCGAAGGGTGTGGAATATAACATTGGGCCTTCTCCAGATGACGTTGTCATCAATCTGTACAATGAGCAGGAGTATATCACGACTCCGCTATGGAATGTCATTGGTACCATCAAGGGGGCCATTCAGGATGAAGTTGTGATTCTGGGCAATCATCGTGACGCCTGGATTGCTGGTGGAGCCGGGGATCCGAACAGTGGATCCGCTGCGCTCAACGAAGTCATTCGCAGTTTCGGTGAGGCTCTGAAGGCAGGATGGAAGCCACTGCGCACTATTGTCTTTGCTAGCTGGGATGGCGAAGAGTATGGATTGCTTGGGTCGACTGAGTGGGTTGAGGATATGCTTCCGTGGTTGTCGAAGACTACGGTTGCCTACCTTAATGTTGATGTCGCGGCGGCCGGGACCAACTTTCAACCCAAGGCGAGTCCGCTTCTCAACAATGTGATCTACGAGGTGACCGGATTGGTCCAGTCGCCCAACCAGACAGTGGAAGGCCAGACAGTGAGGGATACCTGGGATGGCCGGATTGCCACCATGGGAAGTGGTAGCGACTTTACTGCGTTCCAGGATTTTGCAGGCATCCCCAGTTACGATCTGGGTTTCAACCATGGTCCCAAGGACCCTGTATATCATTATCACTCCAACTACGATAGTTTCGACTGGATGGATCGATTCGGTGACCCTGATTGGCTGTACCACGAAGCATGCACTAAGATTTGGGCTCTGGCTGCGGCTAAACTGGCGGAGACTCCTGTGCTTTCCTTTAACGCTACGGACTATGCTATGGGCCTCAGCACATATTTGGATAAGATTCGGCCTGCGGCGGAGCGACTGCCTGGTCATTCATCGTTCGACTTTGGGCCACTGGACAAAGCGATTGTGCGACTTCAGAAAGTGGCTGCGAAATTTGACGCCGAAGCCGCAGAGCTAACCTCGCAGTTGGACGAGAATCTTCCGTGGTGGCTCTGGTGGAAGAAGGTGAGACTGTACTTCTTGATCCGCGGGGTCAATGACAAGTACAAGATCATTGAGCGCAAGTTCCTGTATCAGCCTGGCTTGGACGGGAGAAATTGGTACAAGCACGTCGTGTTTGCGCCTGGCATCTGGACTGGATACTCTGGCGCGACATATCCTGGGCTGGTGGAAAGTCTGGAGGCAGGAGATTTGGAAAATGCAGAGGTTAGTCGTCTCGCTTTTTGCACGATCTGGTTCGTTCGTTTTTCGTGTCTGCTAACGTTATGATGTACAGAAATGGCGCGATATTATCCGTCAGCGAATCGAAGATGCCACGGACCTGTTGCAATAAGTTTTGTAATTCCGGGTGCTATATTCCATATAGAGATTGTGGACGCTTTTCTTTTGTTCACGTTTACAGGCAGGTCGAGTAATTTGAAAAGTTGTGCACAAATTTTGTACTCTAGTTCCGCTGGGGTTCTCAGCCTTGGACAAAGCCATCAGCCAATGATCCATCTATGTGGTACGAAGTATATGAATTGTTAATTATCTATAAATGCTTGGCCATGTCTTATCCTAGAATTATTTTGTATACCTGCTGGAGTTCATTATGCTATTTTTTATCCAAAGCCCGCATATATGCGACATCAGCACAGACCGGAAAAGATTCCGCATGTCACGGTGACCTTGGGAAATCCACAGCAGGACCTATCATGAAGTTGTCGCCGATCGACAGTGGAATAATTGAGTCATGATCGAGGAGCAACTGACCTGGTGCATGCATTTGAAGGCGCAGTTGCTCAAGCGGTCAAACTCCGAATCGCCGAAGGGTCTATCTATCATTACAATTGTTCTGCCAGTTCGTTATCCGTATGCTGTGGGGGTCCAATGCATCCATCCATCAGCGATCCAGCGGGCTAGGCCGACTAGCAGTCTGTCCTTCAAAAGAACCATTGCATTTCATTTGACACTGATTTTTGTAGAATCCGCATTTCCCCACTCGTGATGCTGACAAAAAGCAAAAGGTGAGTGAGGCCTTTGACAATAATTGACCGAACTAGTAACTCAAAAAGTGCAGTAATGCACAGACTCGACTCTTGCTTTCCTCCTTCTCCAGTTCTGTTTTTTTGACTCTCTTCTCTCTCGTGCTTGACTGGTCCAGTGTCTATTATCGATAGACCCCAGGTACTTCTTTTCCATGACTTTGACGCAAGGCTCGCTTTCCCTCGGTTACTTGCCTCATCTCGATCTGTATAATAGCCGACTGCCCAGCTTACTAGGCTATTGACCGGGTTTCTATCACAGCTTTAAGATGCACGAGAAATCTCCCAGACTGCCGGTGCGGCAGCTGCTGATTTTATGTAAGTATTGTCAGACTAGAGATAAGTATGCTATCTGCAAACTGACTTCTTGAACCAGCAATATGTAGATTTGCCGAGCCAGGTACGTCCAAGCTCACTCAGCAGTGCAACATTGGGATACAAATCTCTCCATTAATAGACCGATTTCGGACTTCGACCTATACTGAACTCTTTCCCCTTGCTAAACAGTTGTTTTCACTTCCGCCTTACCATATCTCGTATGCAAACTGCCCGTCCGATGAGTCGCCATAACCCAGCTAACCACCCTTCACCTCCAGCCCGAAATGATTGAGGACATTGGCGTTCCCAAAAATGAAGTCGCGAAATGGGTCGGGATCGCCTCGGCCGCGTCAGCCAGCTCCCAGGCTGCCATGGCCGTGACCTGGGGAACCGTCTCGGACACCGTCGGTCGCAAGCCCATCGTCCTGTGCGGCTTGACGTTCACCATGATTTTCTCGCTTATGTTCGGCCTGTCAAAGACTCTAGCGATGCTGATCGCTTCCCGTGCGCTGCTGGGCCTCATGAACGGGAACGTCGGGATCATTCGGACCATGGTCGCGGAGATGGTCCCGGAGAAGGAGTTGCAGCCGCGTGCATTCAGCGTTATGCCGCTGGTTTGGACAATTGGGAGTATCTTTGGGCCGGCATTTGGCGGTGCGCTGGCGCGCCCGGCGGAGAAGCATCCGGCGACTTTTGGGAATTGGCAGCTTTTCAAGGACTATCCGTTTCTGTTGCCTAATCTTGCGTCGGCTTTTCTGTTCGTTATCGGGATTACGACGGGGTGGCTCTTTTTGCACGTAAGTGCGATCCAAGATATAGGAGATTAGTGAGTGTACGTGCTAATGTCGGACAGGAAACACTGGCAGCCAAGAAGCATCACCGCGATGTCGGGTTGCGGCTGGGTCAGATGTTGACAGGCTCCTGCAGCTCTCGCAGAAAGAAGATATCTTACTCCGAGACGCAGGAGGATGACGAAACGACTGCGC